CATCTGTGTGAGACCCAGCGCTCTGGAAGGGAGCCACCCCCACATTAACATCCCTTTTTGATCTTTTTGTTCCTCTGTTTCAAACCGAAGCGGTGATGAGCTGTCATGACGTTCTCTGTCCCTTTTCTCAAAATGCAATCAAACACTAAAAATGCAGAAACTGTTGGTTATGGTTATGGTTAGGGCTGGGTTAGGGTTAAGGTTATCATAGTTAGTATTAGCATTTTTCCCATATGAATGAATGAACGGTCCTCACAAAGATATGATTACAGGTCTATGCGTGTGTGTGTAAGTGAGCGCACCTGACATCAGATTTCCTGAACTATGAGGCCTTGAGCTAGTGAGCTGTCACATGACCCCAGTTTTGGTCCCGAATTCTTCCCCTTGCCCCCCCTCCCCCATAGAAAAGTTGCACCCTGTGTTCTGCTTTTTAAAAGCCGGCTGTCAGTGGTCACGACGGGGCTGGGGGTGCAACTTCCCCCGGGAGAGGAAGTGCAACGAGGCGAGCTCTATAAAAGGAAGAGCTGCAGTAGTCACTGAACATTTGATTGGCTGCTCCGGAAATAGAGAGCTGGGGGGGGGGGGGGGGCACAACCTTTGACCTCCCTCATCAAGCCTCTCCAAGCAGGTGCAGCTGGGGAGTGTGCTGTATTGAGTCGGGCTGAGTGAGACATATTGGGATCAGTCACTTGGGACGATATACTTTGCTGTGTTCTTCTGTGAGCTGGAGTCCTCGGGGTCCTAAAGGGTTCCCGTATGAGCTGTGCGTCTGTGCTGAGCTGGAGTCCTCGGGGTCCTATATTATTATTTTACGTTTTCAAATATGTCTCCTTGCCAGTGGCTACTCAGTACAGCCCTCCTTTCTTCATCATGGTATAAATGCTCTCGTTCTCAGTGATAAACCAGTATTGCCATTCCCTGTAACAAGCTGATATCAACATCTTTGCCAGGATTACTGGTTAATCCTCCCCATGTCTTTGGTGCTCGAGTCAGGGCCAGAGAGCTGTTGCTATTTTGACTCTCATGCGACTTAACCAGGAAGTTTGCACCCTCACACCCCCGTATTGTAAAATCACATTCTTAGGCCTCATAAACAGGTGTTCTTACACAACTTACTTCCTTGCATAGTACAGCTCTCATATACAAACAGTCATTCAGCTGTCAGTCACCACACAGAGCACAGTGAGACCCCCTGTATATATTGAGACCCCCTCTGGTCCCAAAAGCCAGTTCCCGTTGTGGAGTTCCCCATCACCTTACGGGCACACACAGCCCCCACCGGGGGGAGAAATCTGAGGGATGTCTTGGGTCCTTGTGAAATGTGACAGATTCCTGTTCCTTCGTCCTTTTCACTGGTGGGGAGGGGGGTGTGTGGGGAGGGGTTGGAGCATTTTCAAAGGCAGTGTTTTTCAGATTTGTTTGCTAGAACTCTGTCCTCAGGTAACCCCACCCCCTGCCACCCTCCCCACTGCCTGTGAACCACTTCTGGTGACTCCTGGTTGGGTACATACCCCCTCCCTCCCTTCAGGTGATAAGATTACATTTCATAACCCAGCCCGGCGAATTTGCAGCAAAAACCAGAGCAGGATGGAAGGCAGAGTGAAGTTCACAGGCGGGCAATGAGTTTTATAGGCTGCAGCTGCATATCATGGCTCCCATTTTATTGCTCAGGAAAGTGTCACACGCGCCTGAGCTTGTTTGAGGTCGTGTGCATGGGATTGACGAATGTGTGTGTGTGTGTGTGTGTGTGTGGATCACAAAGTCCTGTCAGCTCTGATAGGGTACCTGGCCTGTCAGTCAACTCTCCCACCAGGCCAGTAGTGGCGCAGCCAGGCCCCAGTGTATCAGCCACAGATGAGGTCAGCAGGGCCGCCCGCCTCCTGACGAATGGGATGTGATGGTGCGTTCGATTATTTCTCTCCAAGTCGGAACTCGGATGAAAACGTCACGAGACGTCACGGAAAACGTCACTTCCCGTCGGAAACACGCCTCTTTTATGACG